TTGTTTGTGTCATAATTTGATCAGTACGCTTTGTAATTGTCTGCATCTTCACTTAATTGATCTCGCCATGGCTGTCAATTGACTTCCTCCTCGCTTGGGCTGCAGATCAGCACAACTGCCATCCACTACTACAGAAAACCAGGGTGTCCTATCCATGTGGCGCGCACTGTATTACTGTACTGGTACTGCCATTGACAGCGTTAAATGTCGGTTACGTGGCGGTTACAGTGTTGGTCAGATAATAACTGGTAGTAATAGTATTACGACAAAGTCGGTACAGCACATGAAATGGCGCACGATCAACGCAAATGTACTCCAGTATAACATGAAGATTCTACAATTTAACCCTAATAACGCTGGTACGACGGACGGGTAGACAACGACGATCGGGGTGGGGAATGTCTGTCGACCTGCTCGTAATCCGCCAACAAGTCCATTTGGTTGCTTGGGGGGGTCGCAGACAAATCGTACAGTCGTATCATCGAACTGCCGCGGGGGTACTGTTGCGAGGGCGACTCAAACAGTACCGCTACACAAACCACGTTATCACACAAACGTTGTCGCATGACGAAAACGACATACTGCCTCGAAGTGGGTGGAGCACATTGGGTTGCATTTTCGGTCTGCGTGGTGTGTCGTTGAACTTGACCAGTTGGTTGGTCGAGGCTTCGAATATGTCGACTAAACCAAATACCACGAATGATATATCGTCAACGTAGTGTCTGCATTACACATCAAGGGTGGTCGTACGATTCTCTTCCGTGATTCGCTGCTCGTGGGGGGGGTCGTACAATTGAATCGCTTCAAACGCGTCCAAGTCAATTTGCTTCAACGCACTACGCGACGGAAGAATCGGCGGCTGCGTTTCACGATGCGCCGCCAAACGAGCTTGCACCAAGCACGACTTGCAGAACTTTTCAGTCGACACAGACACACCGTCGTCGCGAGCACGATCCACGCAGGGCAGGGCGGTTTTGCAGTTCCCACACATGCTCTACGACACTCGCCACGACAGTTTGAACGGGAAAGTGTTTACCCCCATGGAAAGTTATGTACCCATCCACAATGTCGGCAATGGTGTTTCGGGCGCAACAAATAAAATGACTTTTGACACGTGACGCACTTCCTATGTAGACCCGTGATGTGCTTCAACATGGACGAGTAATTTGATAGGACGACGTACTGGCTGTGTCCCCATGCTTCGGCAAAGGAGCCCGTGGTCAACTGACGGGATTCTGGTAGCGTGGCTTCATGCGGAAGCGACAACAAGTCTTTCGCCAGTCCCCGGGGAATGAGGACGTTCAGGGGTTTCCAGTACATCAAGTGGCCTTGCGATTGAGCATACTGAACTGCCAGTCCCACCGACCCTCGGTTTCCCCGCCCGCGGGGTTGCTCTATCCAGAAACAACATCATCACAATACGTCATCACATGCAAAGCGTACTTTGCAACACGATGGCTTGCGTGGTTACATCAACGACAAACGGCGACTTCTGGCGATACAATTTGACGCAACCAGCGTTCGCTCGTAGGCCTTGTGTCACTGACAGCGGGCACGTGAGCACAAAATACGTCGACACGCCATGAGCATCCACGCACATTCCACTGTACTACAACAACATAGGTATAAAGCATAAATAATATATGTCGTCAGCGTACTTCAGCATACAAAAACTCCTTGGTCGATGCGATTTCGTCCGTCACGGAGGGCGCGTTGAGGGCGACAAACTTGACGCCAAAGAAGTGGCTTCGGTCGGCAGTATGCATCACTTGCAACAACGCGGCGTCTTCAATGTGGGCAGGGTACAATAACGCACACACGGACCGAAAGCCAAATGAATCGCTTGTGTACATGGCGTCCTGGAGCGAAGCGAGCGTCGTCGTATGCCGTCCAAAGCACACGTATTCGTGGCGACGTGGCGCAAGCACGCGGTGGTGGACACTCCATTCGTCCGTTTCTCGAATGACGTCGAAGCAGCGGTGGACAGTCGACTTGCGGAGGTCGGACGCCAACGCGTCGGCAAGCAGCCCTTCCATGATCGTCAAGTACCGAAAACTAGTTTCGTCATTCAAGTCCACGACAGGGTACCGACGGCGTTGGTTGTTGCTAGCCAGTAAATGCGCATTGTTGTTGTAGCTGCCAGTGCTACCGCCGCTGCTCATGGTTAATCGCAATTGGAGTTTGGGGGTCAAAGGTCGCGACCGTTCAAGATCCAAAATTGACCAATCAAGCACACCCGTGCATGTTTTCGTTCACAGTCAAATGTTCTACCGCTATGGCGTGCCAGAAAATATTCTGGTGGGTATACAACGACGGCACAGCGTTGATTATAGCCACGCAAAACCCTGTGGCTCGTCAGCGAAGGGTTCAAGGCTGCCTTCATCATCATTCTTTCGTGTTGTTCCGAGGTTAACATTTACCGGACGATATTATCCGGATGAC